CACAGAGCACAGGTTGCTGTCCTCTGAAGATGCCGGCCACAGAGACTGGCAAAACATTAGGAAGAACAACCTTTAGAACATGGCCAAAGAGCCTGAAAAACCTACAACAACCATTAGATCCCGGCCATGAAAGCCTTCACGAATATACAGAAATTATGAGTTGAGAGAACAGCAGACATCACTGAGGGGAAAAATAGAAAACCATATTAGTAAAAATACAGAAAGAGAAAGGCTCCCCATTTTTCACCAGTTATGAAGTAAAACAGTAAAAGTTCTACTAACAGATGCAAATACAGTACTCAGAACAACCCCAACCAGTACACTAAAGGAAATAAACCAGCTCAGCTACTACTATTACTGCTACTGCTGCTGCTGCTGCTACTTCTACTTCTACTACTACTTGAAATTTTAAGGTTCTTTGTGTTAGGGATTAAATGGTCTTTTTCTAGTGTGGTGTAATAAATGAACATCTCACATATCTTGAAAACCCTATTAGGCTCATCACAAGTTGAATGTGACTTGGCAGCCCATAGGAACAACTATATCTGGATAGAGCTGGTCTTACGTGGTATTGCACCCAGGTGCTTTTGGGTGTGTGAAGTGTCTATATTGGGGTGAACAATCTGGTCCCCTTTAGATGTTGGGTTGCAACTTCACCTGTTCTAGCGAGCATATCAAAGGGCAGCTGTAATCCAAGGACAACTGGAGGGCACTGTATTCCCACTCCTGTTCTGTAATCTTTCTCTGCATGCCCATGACAGAGGGCAGGATTGTGCTCTTCATCCATAGTCATTCAACTGTGTGGTGAAACATGCAGGCAAGGGAGAGGAACAGACACAACATGAATGAATCCTTATTAAGGCATTCATGAATGTTAAGAAACAGTTCTTTTATCACTCTGTATGTAACAGAACTGTCAATAGAATTATACTGTCCAAATATAATAGAAAAATCTATAACAGTTGCCATGTAGTAAGGAAATGTTAGACTTAATCCAATGCAATCTGTCTTTATTTTCTGGTCTGCTTGGTTGAACACCACAAATATGATCTTGACAGATGTTAGCAAAAGCTGGGCAGAATTCAAGCCACAAAGACTAGAGGATAGAAGCTTAGAAGTTTTGGCTCAAGACTCTAAGATGCTGGATATGCAGGGGTGGTAAGAAGAACTTGGATGTAACCCTGGATGGACACAGCTCGAAATTGATGATCTGGAAAATGAGCGCAAATTGAGACATACATCATTGATAGAAGGATATGAAAATGTAGTAGCTTTAGAGCTCTCTCTTTCTCTCTGTCTGTATGTGTGTGCATGCATGTGTGTGTTACAAAAATGCTGAAACACTGAATCCACCTGTTTTCAAGTGAGCTGGTAGTTTTTTTGCTTTAAGGCTGGACAGTTAAGCAACAGCTAGTGATTTGTGAAGTATACATATGTATTTGTGCTGCTGTTACTAAAAATCTGTTAGAAGTAAGGAGGCCATGGTCACACTAGAGAAATGCCCCCCCTTCTATCTTGAGTGTTCTGCTTCCTGTATAGTTGCATGTTGTGGTCTTCTGGTATATATCCTGGTTTTTTTTTACCTTTTTAAAAAAACTATGCTGCTTATTTTGAGTGAATTAGATGTATGTTCATCTACACCCCTTGAGCAGGACATATCGTGTTGTGGTCTTCTGGTATATATCCATGTTTTTTAAAACTTTTTTTTAAAAAACACCATGCTGCTTATTTTGAGTGAATTAGATGTTGTATGTTCATCTACAACCCTTGAGCAGGACATATCCCCCTTCGTTTTCTTGTTCCTTTCTCTGTTCTCCTTTCCCCGCCCCTTTTAAAAAAAATGTGTGGGTATATCGCTGTGTCGACACAACACCACTTGGGCTATTTCTTCCTATTTTCATGCTTCGTGACCTCTATGAAGGAGACCCACAACGCACTGCAGTGGCAGTCAAAAGACAGTAGGGGGACTGATGCTCCATATTGGACAGTATACCAACAAGCTGACATCCCTGTTTGAAAATTAATTTAAAAAATTAAGGGAGTTGAGTTAATTGAAAATTAATTTAAAAATTAAGGTGAGAGAGGTGAGACCACATATCAAATGCATAGGAAATGAATTGGTTTAGTAGTACACACTCAATGGCAAGTTGGTTGTACTGCACGATGAAACGTTCACCAAATGTAGTACAGTACTAGCCTCCTAGTGGGCTGGATTTGATGTGGAGATAGCATGGAGGGGGAACAAAAGAATCAATAATGGCCTTGCTATATCTGAACCTTCCAAAAAGGGTTGAAATTCACGAGGAGTAACTTGGAAACAGTAATACTTACTGTTTGTGAAAATCTGCTTTGAGTATTTAATTGCTGTATTCTTTTGGCCATAGACTGAATCTGGAATGGAAACCAGTGTTGCCCACAAACCAGTAATCATTGAATCAACTGCTGAATTGTAAGTCAACAACAGTATAAGCACTATTAATTCAGCGAAAGCACTGTAAATGAATGTAGACCCTTTTGTCTTTCTAGTACCAACCTACCAAGGTTTTTGGGGGTGAAAAGGCACACCTCACCTTCCCTTTTTGCCTTCTATTCCCCCCCCCGAAAGTTATTTTAGTGGGAGGCTTAGAGGGCGAAGGAAAAGGTTGCCAAAACACTGTCGATTGTTTCATTCCAGTAGTGTTACTTGCAGTCTTCCCTAGAATTCTTAACACACTTGGGAAAAGATGTACAAAGGCCAGGGTTGGTCTTGTAATTAGGCACATAGCTCTGGGGGAATAGCCCATTGTGGGAGGGGAAAGAGCTTAATGGCAGGAACTACACGTTCCCCTTAACTTTTAGTTTGACTTGTGGCTGCCCCCTTCTTGCTTGGTGGAAGAACCTGTCTCATATCCAGTGTTCAAACAGGTTATCAGTTCCCTTGTTTTCTTGACTTTTGTGCACATAACGAAAGGAGGCTCCAACTTATTCCTTGCTTTAGATAGCAAAAGATCTTGGAATGCCCCTGGACAGTTCTTGGTATATGAACAAGCAGTCAACCTGCAGCATAGGGCCTTAGATGATGCTTGGTCTCTATATGCCTTCCCCAGAATAATAATTGGGGGTGGTGGAAATAATGCTATGGGGCTTTTTAACCTTGACATAACTTAAGCTCTGTCCCTAACAAAAGTCTAATGCATCCAAATGTGCTTGTTTTGTTCTAGTGGACACTGTGACACTTTTCTTGAGCTGGGTGCCAGAACGGTCTTTGTCTAAAGGGTCTCACTTGTCCTTCTCCTCCTGTGCCAAGCCAATTGTAGCATGATGTGGTGCTGCAGCTAGGAAGGGCTGTACTTGCCTTACATCTGGGATCTACGACCTCTTCTGATCTGGCTTCAACCAAGCTTTCAATATGTGAGGCCTTGTGTGGAATCCCTTGCCCTTCTGTGTCTATTTAGTGCATTCAGGATGCTGCCCATGGCCATCTAGGAAACAGATCCTGCTTGTGGCATTAAATCTCATGTATGTTGGCACATTTCAATGCACCTACCCAGGTCTCAGGGGATTGCTATGCTTACTCAAGTCTCTAGGAAGAGAGACAAATCTTAGGGCGAGCAGCAAGTACAAGAGGAAAACGTTTGGTGTATAGTGCAAAGGTGTTTGTATGTATGTTCAGCACATCATACTTTAGGAGAACATGCAGGTATCCACATGGTCTACCTCTCTCTCTGTCCAACACACAGAGTGGCCAGAACCCTATTGCTTACGTCTGCCAGTGTAAGTGCAATGGCATAAGTCACAGCGGGGAACTATGGCAAGTTAAGGAGTTGCCGCTTGCATTCCTAATCACAGGCTGGTTGCATGACTTGGCACGTGATGAGGACTACAAGCAGTAACTCTGTAACTAGCACCAATTGGTGGCTGTGACTTGTGCTTTTGCCCGTATGCAGCTGTACACAAACAATAGGATTCTGACTATTATTTTGCAATTGTTACAGAAAGAAGCATTTCTTATGACATCTCAGGGTCCCACTGCTGTGACAATATAAATCTCCTCCCCCAAGTCTCAGGATTTGGCCCCGAAATCTAAGGGAATGGGTAATAACTGCATTTGGAATCCTATTTTTAACCAAAGGTGATACTTCACTGTTTCTTACCAAATAAGCCCTAATCTGCCTTTTGTTGTTGTTATGCTCATGTGAATTCATCCCAAGAGAGCTTCATGGTCCTAAGGTCCACATGGGTATTCTATTGTCTTTTGAAGTAGAAATTTAGAGTATGTATGTGGGGAAAACATCCTGAAATATTATGGAAGCATAAGAAAACAAGGAAGGGCTTCCTGAACACTGCCAAGGGAGCTTCTGTAAACTGGGCCAAAACAGCCAGCTGTCAGGCATTCATCACATCTAGCACTGGACCAGAGTCTAAATCAGTTCTGTCAGGTGAGTTTTATTGCTGATCGATGAGTGGACAGAACCAAATGCAACCCAAAAAAAGTTGACAAAAACTGGGGCAAAGAAAAAGTGATGCCAGTTTTTAATGTTAGTAAGTCTGTATTGTTATGTAAAGAGGGAAGGATATGACTCATTCTTTACCTTTGCATTTGTTGGGAACTCATGGTGGGCTTCTAGCAGGAGAAATGCAACAATACAAGAGACAAACATAAAAGCACAAACACACATACATTAAACAGTAGTGTACATAAATTAAAAGCAGTGATCTCATCTATGTTACAAAAAAACATAGGCATTTCCCATTTCTCAGAATGATATTTGTTTGCTGCTTTTTAAGGTTTCTGTACTTATTGCTTTTAGCTTTAAATGTTGCCTTTTAGTGATGCACACAACCTTTGTATAATTGTTTTGTTCTTAAATATTGTCTTTGAATGTTGTGAGCTGCCTTGGGTCCTTTTCTAAGGAGAAAGGCAGGGCAAGAATATTTGTAATATAAACAAACAAACAAACAAACAAACAAATAAATAATAAACAAACTGTTGAATATTATGGCCACTTTACTGCATTTTAGGTTTGACACAGAACCTTGACTCTGTCTTCGGTGACAGAGGATGTAGGCAGCAAAAAATGCAAAGCCCTGCAGAGGATCTGTTTGCCTGCAAGGATCCTCAGCAAAGGGGTTACACAGTTCCATCCAACCTTGTTTTCTAGAGGCATCTGGAGACTGTGGCACTCTTACAAACCTTCCATGCTTCCTCACTGCCTTTGCTTCCAGATGGGTTTCTCTTGGCTACAGAAAGCTTTCATTTCTGGATAGAAGAATGAGCGGATGGGAAGGCGTAGGGAAGCCAGTGACAGTTCTTCAGTTATGCATTTCAAAATCCAAGCCCAAGAAACTGATGTTGGGATTCAGCAGGAAGGCCCTGGTGCATTCCGTCTTCCGCACCCACAGCTTCTGTAACTGACAACCCAGGTACAATATCCTTCCTCCCCATTTTTTAAAAAATCCTTTGTACGGTGGCAGCAGGTAGGATGGCAAAGGAAGGTAGTGCTGGGAGCACTCCTGAGGAAGGTGCCAACCATCATAGGACACACGTGAAGCAAGGCTTTGTGAAATTATTGTTTCATGTCTGTTTTGGAAGTTCATTCCTCATCCAGGCATCATACCGATGGGGGGAAATTATACATCAGGTACATTCTCCCCCCCCCCCACAAAGATAGCTCATAGAATCTGCTCTTCTTGAATGTTTTTCTTTTGTGTAGCAGTGCCAGGGCAGGTATAAATATTGGATATAAGTGTATATGGCCACTTTGCAGGATTAGTTGTGCCTCTCACCATTACATTAAGCCAAGAAAAGGCTAAAATTGGAACTGCCCTAGCATTGGACAGATGGAGATGCCTTCCACAGGAAAGAGATACAGATGTCCAAAAAAAGGCAGCAAGTTCTTTAATTTAACTCCCCCCCCTTTTAAAAAAATTTCAATGAATGTGGAGAAGTGTGTTGGGGATCCCCCCCAGTCCCCACAGCATTGCTTCTCTTCAGTGTCTTGGGCCATCCCAGTGATTAAGATTCTCTATGGCTCACTCTTTTTCCAGTGGAGGAAGGACATCCCAATGGAAGGAGCCCCATGGACATGGTTAGATGCAGATGCAAGACAGGTTATGAGACCCACGGACCCTAGGATTAGGAAAGACCCAGTATCTAGAAGCACTGGGAAGACAGAAGAAGACAGAGGAAGAAATGCAGACAGGAGATTTGGAACGCCATGCTGATGGCCTTATAATGTACTGGGCAGCTAGAATTCCAGGACTCCTACAGCTGGTTACAGTAAGCTGAGTTGTGTATACTGGATGCTTGCCAGCATTAAATGTTTTTAACTGCTGCCACAAATGCAAAAGTGTTTCTTCTTCCTATGTTCACTCCCTCTAAGCATTTTCAAAGGGCTTCGATTAAAAAAAAAAGCAACAAACCAGTGGAAAGATAATAAAGTAAGTTTGGACTTTTAGAAGAAAGGAAAAAGAAAAGAAAGGCCTGATTTATGTATGTTTGGTATGCTGTTGCTGCAAGATTTAGCAATTCATGAATTTTCTTCCCCTGTCTCTGCACACTTGGCCTCCTCCTGTCTTTAAAAAAAAAGGAAGTGGAGGTATAGGGACAGAAAAAGAAGGAACTAAAAAGAACTGAGGTGTGAGGAGAAAGACGTAAAAGAAGACATATGCATCTACTGTCTGGCAGGCAGGATGCCAGGTTGGTTCCCTTTATGTAGGCCAAATGGCACCAAAAAAGCAGCTGCAAAGTGTTAGAAAACCAGACCTTGTTCTTGTAAACACGTTTGCAGATGTTGGGGGTAAGGAGAGCCCTGACGGGGACACAAACCCACTTTTCTGCTTCAGTGAAGTTGAATTCCACATAGTTCAGGTTCTTTCTGGTGATAAAGTAGAAATGATTGGTTTCCCAGGATCCAGACTCATGTGGAAAGCCTGCACAGATAGCTGAGGCACCCTATTCAGACTCATCGCCCTGCCTGTGCAGCAGTGGGGTGAAACTGGAAACCAAGAGGCCAAGTTAGAGCCATCCCCTCTACCTGTGGTGAGTCTGCACTATTGGATAACAAAACAGTAGAGTTTGTAGACTCAGAAGAGGTTAGTCTGATACAGAATCATAGAACAACAAAGTTGGAATGGACCAGAAAGTTCGTCTAGTCCGTCCGCTACAGTGCAGGAAATTCACAACTCAATAATGCCAGACAGATGTTGATACAACCTCTGTTTTAAAAACCTCAATTTTAGGGGAAGCATGCCTTTGTGCACACCTCTGGAACACCTGCCCAAGTTTTGATGCAGATCGACAATAATGCTCCAATCTGCCAGTCTCCAGATTGTGATTGACCGTCATCAAGGGATGGAGTCTTGACTGCCAGGTAGTGGTGACCAAGCAGGAGAACCTTTAGCTGAACTCTTCTCAGCTTGACAAGGGCTTGCAATAAGAATGTGGAGAAATTATTTCCTTGACTCAGAGTCCCCTGGCCAATATGGCCACGGGTTGTTGGTGCACACCATGACAGCAACAACCTTTTCAACCTGTGAACCCAAATAATTCCTTAGATGTTCTTGGGAGGCAGTGGATCCTTTGATATAGGAAACTCTTCAATGGTGGGTTGTAGTTCTGGCCCCAGTAGGTTTGGGATTTAGCAGTACACCTCTGCAAACTGTCACGTAACCATATCATGTTTGTTATAATGACTTAACATCTGGGTTGCTACACAGAAAGTGTAAACACTTTACTTCATTGCAATCAAGAGTATTTGCAATCATCAGGGTTACTGAAAACATTCTAAAAGTTAAAGGGGGGAAATGGCTTGGGATTTCCTGTTCTTCTGGTTCTATCTTACAAATATTTGTTGCTCCAAAATTTTGGCCATCTGAGCTCAAGTCCAGGAATGTGTAAAAAAACCCACAACACCCCAGAGACTTTTTGTCTTTTTTTAAAAATAAAGATTTTTAGTCTCTAAAAAAACAAAACAAAACAAAAAAACTCCCAGCATCTCAAATAGTTCTATATCAGTAATGAACATGTTGTATTTGTTCTAATTCACACTAGGATATTAAAGATTTACCTAGTGAATATTTTGTAAGAAATTAACATGACTTATCATCAGGACTTCCTTTGGTTTTAATCCCGCTGTAGGATGATGTGTTTTCCCTAATAGTGCAGAATCTCTCGTTAAGTTCAGGAAACAGGATATAAGGATCCGTCAGTTGAGCCAATTTATGAGCATAATAAAACAGCCCCTATTACCTTTGGCAGTCAAGGCAAGACAAGGTGAAACACAGTGTTGTAAAGTTATTATGACAAAGGAATTTAGTATTTACCTGACAAAATCAAGTAAAAATACTGCATGTATTTTTGAAACAGCATTTCAGGCATTATGACCTAAAATTAATAGCAGTAGCCTATCATTTATCCTGTTGTACAGGGATATTTCAGAGTTCACTCAAAGCCAGAAATGTCTGCTATTAAATCATTACAAAACTGCAAGCCTCTCTCTCTCTCTCTCTTTCTTTTTTTGGAAGTGTTTCCTCATGTCTGCTCTATGTCTACCCTTAGCTTCACCAGGCTGCTGGTGTTAACAGTTGGGGCGCCCCTCTTACCCCTCTCCCAATGTATTCTGCTTCTAAATTAAAAACAAATTTAGAGGCAAAATCGAGGTTTTGTCTGTTGAAGGTCTGTTAGGGAAAGCAATGGGTAGCACACGCAGCTGAGCTTGGCCGTTCTAAGTTTAACCTTTGGAGGAAGGGAAAAAGCACAAAGGAAACTGAGAGGCCAACTACACAGGCGTTTGTCCCACTCTGTAGCCCCTCCTAGAACAGCTGGGATTGCTCTAAAAATATTGACTACATTTATGTTCTTCTGAGAGTGTGCCAACCTGTCCCTGATGGGTACCAGTCTGTCCCAAACTGGTCTAGGGTTGGCGCCTGCTGTTTATTTGGAGCAATTAGAATCAGTCCAAATAAATAAGGTTTTCTGGCTCTTTTCTTAGATTTGGAGCTGTTATTCTCTGAGTTTCCTTGGTCTCTACATTGTTCCTTCAGTGCCCTCACTGTCTCTTGAAAAGTTGATGTTTGTGCAGTATGTAGCTAAAAATGAACACTTAACTTGTTCATAAGCAATTAGAGATGGGCATGAACCTGGCTGGACAGTGTCTGTGAAGCGACCAACATGAATTTGACACAACTCCGGGAGGCAGTGGAAGACAGGAGGGCCTGGCGTGCTCAGTAGCTAGAAATGAACACTTAACTTGTTCATAATCAATTAGAGATGGGCATGAACCTGAAAAATGGTGGTTCGTAATGGTTCATGGTTAGCCACAAACTACAAACCGTCTTGAACCAACTGGAAAACTGAACTGCGAACCATTTCGGTTTTGGGGTCGTGCCAGGTGTGTAGGGGCAACTTTGCCCTATCATGCTGCCGCTGCACCTCTGCTGAAAACACAATACACTGAAATAGTTAAACTCAATGAAATCAACTATGTTACAAAAACAACTACTGAATTAAAACATTTTAGAAGCACATCATTGTAAAAAAAAAAAAAAGGTAAAAGTAAAAAAATAAACCATTCACCATTAAGGCTTCCAATTCCCCACTATGTTTCTTTGATGGGGGCTGGACTCGATGGTCCATAGGGTCCCTTCCAGCTCGGCAGTTCTAAGATGATGTTGATGATGATGATTAAAAGTTCCTTTCCGAATTGCCCATTCAGTTGCCCAAAGCCTCCTAATAAGAGAAAGTTCTTTGTATTTTTCTGGATTGAATTCTACATGCAGCAGGTACAAATTCTCCCACAGCTCCTAGGCAGCATGGCCACTGGCCCAAAAAAGTGACTTTTCTCATCTCTGATCCACATCAAGAGCAGCAAATGACACTTAAAGGCTAGCCCCTTACTGAACAGAGTTGCCAACCATCTTTATTTATTTATTTATTTGATTTTTACCCCCACCCCCCTAGACAGCGTCTACTTGGGGCGGCTTACAAATGTCAGAAAATATTATAAAATACAATAAAACAGCATAATCATTAAACAATTAAATCAATAATATGGTGTGTTCAAGATGGGGAATGATAGAACAAAAAGATAGAATTCAAGGACTGACAGAAAGGAAGGCCTGCCTAAAGAGTCAAGTCTTTAATTGGCTCTTTAAAACACCCAGTGAGGGAGCCAGGCGGATCTCTGTTGGAAGGCTCTTCCATAGTCGAGGGGCCACTGCCGAGAAGGCCCGGTTTCTAGTTCTTTCTTTCCGGGCCTCTCTCGGCGTTAGGCCTCTCAACCGTCCATCCTGGCTGTGCTGAGTAATTCGGGTAGATCTTTCTGTTCAGGCTGTCTCAACACACTTTGCTTCCTGAGGGGAATCTCCCAGTTCAAAATGAATAGTGTACCCAGACCTGGCCACATTATTTTGATACATGAGGCAGAAAACCCCACAAGTTTCTCTTCCCCAACACTGCCTATTAAAATCCAATAATTTGCCATGCTTCAAAATGGCTGCCTTGCTGTGCTTAGTGGTCGATTGGCCCTGCATCCATCTGCCCATTCATTTCTGCACCATTATACAATTCCCTTTTCTGAACATGCTTGTGAGCAGGAATCCCTCCTCTTAAGACACCTTGTCTCTTTCATGGAGAAATGACAATGGAGCAGGGCAGGACTAGGTGTTCCTCTTCAAGTGTGAGCCTATCCACACCTCTTGCTTGCTCCTGTTTAAGAGGTGGTTCCGTCATCCATTGATTCAGATTAGTTTAACAGATCTACTGTATGTGACATTTAGTCAATCCCTCCTACTTCCCTTCTGCTCTGGGATTATTTCCCCTTCCTTGGGAACTTTTTTTTTTGGCATCCCAGGTCCTTCCAGATCTGTTATCCCTGGATATTTTCTTGAATAAATCTGGTATGGGGGTGTTACAACTAGGATTTCCCCTGACATCAGCTGTAATGTCATCTGTGGGTCTGTTTTCCTCAGCACAGAGCAGGACTGCCTTGATCTCTTGAACTGTTTCCTGCATCTTTCCTTCTTTCATGTTCTGGAGAGGATTCCTCCCTCCCCCATTGTCCATAAACCAGCAGGGCTTGTGCATATCCCTTCCAAGGGGTGAAGATGGCGTGGAGAATGGGGAGGGTATGAAAGGGAAGGAGGGGGAAGAGTTGAATGGAGAAAGGAGGGGACGTGTTACAGTATGGGAACAACCTGGGAAAAAAATCCAGATTACTTTAAGGAAAAATTAAAACAGGTATAGAAAGCTGGAGGGATCCTAGATATATGGAGGAAAGGGATCACAATTTTGACCCACATCAGTTGGACCACACACTTTGTTTGGATGAGC